ATACGTGGTAAAGGAAACGGATCCTTCGAACATGCCTTGTTGAGACTCGTATAGTCAACACACATTCTCCATTTCCCATTCTTTATTCGTACAAGGACGGGATTAGCTAACCACTCGGGATGATACACTTCCTTGTGGACACTTTCGACATGTCCCTCGGGGGTGCCTGCCATGAAGCATTCTCGCGAGGGGTGATGGCTTCTCCTGCTGGAGTCAGAGTCGGAGATCGTCTCTAAATCTCCCTCGAGAAGGTCATGGAAAGATTCCACGACGTAGTCCATCATACCCACGAATTCGTCATCCGTGGGGGACGGGTGCATGCGCTATGCCGTGAGGTGACCAATTGCCCTTGCGGCGTCGCGCAGACCGAACAGGAACGCTATCGGGGCGCTCCGGGTGAGGTATTCCAGGGAGAGCGGTTCTCCTCCGGCAAGCTACGTCATGACGTTGGCGAACGAGAAGGTGAGGCAGCACAGGTCCTCCTGGGATGGTCGGGGTCCTAGGAAGGCGTCGAGCTGGTGCTCTAGCCTCCCGTAATCGAAGCCGAGGAGCTGGTTTCCCCCAGGGGCACGGGCCTTCGGGGCATGCAGCTGCAGCTCTTCGAGGGCCTCAACGGTTGCGTCGAGGTCGGTGGAGCGAAGAAGTTGGACGGGGGCGGGAGCCCATGCCAGCTCTCCCTCCGCGGTGACAAAGAAATCCAGGCTCCCGAAGCGCACGTGCGCGCTCGGGACCCAGCTGACGTCGTGGCTAGCCATCCGTGGCCTGCTGTGGACGATGAGTCGCGCAAAAGGCTCCTACCTAGGGCGCCAACTGTCGGTATTTTGAACCGCTGGCTAGTAAATTTGTGTTTGCGTATCTGGCTCGGATGGTGTGCTCAGAGGATACAAGGGTTTATACTGGTTCTGGCGGAATGTCTCTACGTCCAGTTTGAGGCTACTCGTGTTACCAGCACTTATTTGTAGTAGGGGTTACAAACGGGCGAGAGAGGGAGAAGGTCCCAAGTCTCTGATGGAAGGATCGAATGGAGTTGAGTCTAGTCGAACTCATTGAGCCATTGAGCCCTTGAGCCACTTTGATGTGCCCTGTAGATGATGACAGGGATGGCTCCATGTTGTGACCATGTTCATCATTGGCGCTATACGCGGGCGTCGTGAGTCGGTCGTGGCGCCCCATTCCGTCCCGGCGGGCGGCATGGTTAGCAGATACCCCCGTCGGAAGTCGTTCGGGGATTAGGTAGCATAGCACCGTCACGCCCGACACTATTGGTGACGTGAGTCCTCAGATATGGTCTGGTCGTGGCTGTGGGTCATGTCAAGACGCGCCTACTCCCATTCTGGTGTCAGAAGTTTGACACTGGGTTCGTACTCTTAGACCCATAGTGGTTGGGGGCGGTATGGACCCCCGTCGGGCGAGGCGGAATCCCCTTCAAGGGGTCTAGCGTGGCGAAGTCCGCTACGAGGGTCGGATGTGATGGAGCCCTCTCACGAGGGTCTGGGCGAGTGAACCAGCGCCCTCGGGATCGGGCGAGATGGAGCCCGCGCCCTGGGTCGAGATGTGACCCAGAGCCGCGCCCTCGTGGTCGGGCGACATTTGAGCCCCGCATCCTCGGGATCAGGCGAGACGGAGCCCGTACCTTCGGGGTCGAGCGAGACCAAAATACGCTCTTGACTATCTGGGCGAGTTAGTGTTTGCGGCCATCAGCTTCCTTCTTCTGGGTATCCCTAATATTGATACCCGACAAGATGGTTTTAACTAAAATGACAAACACTAGACAAATTTATTTTGTAACACAAGAGAGCCCTAAAAACTATTTTTGCTAAGTTAGGTGAAGGTTGGCAACTTGGGATGACAATGCAATAATTTAATGTCTAAGCATGTTAAGTGCTTAAAGTGAATTGCATGAGTGGAAATTGAGCACAAGAGATAACTGAAAAAATTATCTTGTGGTATCGATGACTTGCGGTCATCCCTAATCTACGTTGAGTTGGATATTCAAAGTTCAACCACTCATCTGTTAAGGCACAACTTGATCTTGAGCCAGTTAGTACCAACTAGGGTGAAAAACAGTACAGATATTTTTGACGCATTCGAGACCAAATCCGTTTAGAGGGGTTTAGATCTCTCCATATTCGAGTCCAAATATTCAACATTCGATACCGTATCCGTATCGGAATACTCAAATCGCATATTTATGATGTCGATATATCCAATCGTATCCTATCTGTCATGGTTGATACTATCCGTATTCGAATCTGAATCCGAACAGAAATATAAAAATAAATGTAATATCATTGATATCCGTCTGTATCCGATATGTTTTCATTCCTACCGTCATACCCCGATTCAAATAGAATTGCTTTTCATCGCTCTGGCGAGTGAGCACAAAATCTCATACAACCAACTCTGGGACAACACAATCTTCTTTGAAGTGCTCCACAGATCCACAAGCTCCAAGCCATCTAGCAAGGTGAACCTCTAAGAGTAACAAGCTAGTGACACTTGTTTAAAAATTCTTTAGTGCCACAAAACTCAGACTCTTGATGCAATGCACTAGGATGCTCTCAATCTCACTAAAAATACAATCCAAAGCAAAGTGTGTGTGAGAGAGGGGTGGAAGAAGACTCAAAACATGTCAAGGAAGTTTCCAAATAGTCAAGAGACCTCTCCATGGCATGAGAGGTATACATTTAAACAACACCCCGTCCCCCCAACCATTTTCTAGCTATGGCTATTTTGCAAAACATCCTCAATACAAAGGCTTGGATGGTTCAAAGTTCTATCCAAGTGGCTATATTCTTGTGTCAAATCGTTGTTAGAGTCGATAGGTTGTAGAGTCGCAACCATCATCCCTTTACAATTACAAGGACCGAGACCGTCCACGGTTCAAAAATTCACGTGTTCCAACAACTCCAACAACACAAAATGATTTCTCAAAGAAAATGGTGTGCTGATCATCCGCCCTAGGGGTGTGGAATGTCCACAGTTCATCCTACAACCCGCTCTAGCAAGTCACGCACTTCAGCTCAAACCTTAACACACACCTACACGGTTCTTTTCGTCACAAGGCCAGGATTGTCCCTAACTCAATGGAAATTGTGTGAACGTCGTTAGTTGAGAATGATGAAGACCCATGGCGCTGCACGGGACCCTCTCTCTGTCCTAAGATTTAAGTATGTGTTTGGTTAGAGGCCCAAGCGGGGCGGGATGGGGTGAACCTGTTTTTGCATATGTCAAATTGGGGACAAGTGAGAGATAGATCCATCCCAAAAAGAAAGTATTCTCGGATATAGGTGAACCTATCCCAAAAAATGAAGGGACAAGGATATTCGACTTTTTCCTCTTTCGGCGTTTGTTGTGGCAGCGTGTTGAGGGCAACGCGGCTAGCAAGACAAGTGTGGTGCAACATCGCGTTGCAGGTGAGGCAGTTGACAAGGCACGTGAGGCGGCAAAGCGTCAGCTAGTGAGGTAGCTCTAGGGCTGGCAGTTGGTATACAACAAAATGAGGAGTGACAGAGGCGCCGTGGAGGCAGGGATGGCAGAGGCACGTGGTGTGCAAAGGACGATTGAGGTATGATAGGAATGGGTAACAAGCGTGGGGCAGCACGGACCTGAGCAAGAGTAGATAATTCTCGCTCTTCGAGAAGTTAAACTATTTAAACTTTGATCAAATTTATATAAAAAGATACTAATAATCATGATATAGAATAAGTATCATTAGAATAGCTATAGAATATATTTTATAATAAATTTATTTAGAGACATAAATATTAATACTATTTATTATAAACATAATTAAACTTGAGCTACATTAAACGACACAATTTTCATAATTACATTCTTTCGTGGGGAGCTGACCGGGGCCATACGGACAACTTAGGTGACAACGGACAGGACAGCAAAGGGAGTAGGCACAGCTTCGGCAGGCCCGCACGGATGGCTCAAAGCAAAGTGTACGAGGTGGAAGAAGAACAAGAAGATGATAGGTGGGCCCACATAATTCAGATGTGAGTGTACGACCCAAGGTTAACGGTGCCTAACAATGTGAAGAAAAGGTGATCTATGCAAAAAAAACTAAGATAAATCTATCTTTTCAACAAAATAAAAGAGAATAGAATGATCCTATCGGAAAATAGGGCAGGCATCATCCCATACCATTTCATCTCCAAACCAATCTGAAAATAAGTGCACATCTCTCGATAGGTCAACAAATCTCAAGTTTAACCAAATATATATATTAAAAAAATATTAATATTTATGATAACAAAGAAATATCATTAGATTAATCATATCATTTATTTTTATAGTAAACTTATTTAGAAATACATGTCAAAAGTATTTTCTACAAATCTAACTTGTTGACTCCTCGAAATACAAAATAAAAACTTATTTTGGGACAGAGGAATATTAAGTTTTATTTATGTAAAATGTCTGTTGATTTTAGCATTAAAATCTTACCAGAATATTATTTGTACTCCTACCAGAAATATCAGACAGGAGCTCAAACAAATCATCCTAACCATCACAATACAGTTTTGGACAATTGAGGATGCTACCACCAGCCCAATAATAAACCTGCATTTCCTATGATACCAATGAGATGGCTTTATATATTCTTTATCCCAAAAGTTGACATGGTTTTTGGTCGACAGGAATCAGAGGAAATCGAAATGGAAAACTATGTAAATCAACAGCATGTGGAATCAGCATACCACCAGGGCTAGAACAATTCAATGCCTAAGATGAAAAGACCTGGAAGAGGCCCTCAGCCAGATGTAAGATAACACACCAAGTAAAAGACAGCCCGTACCATGCGTCCATTAACCTGTTTCTACATGTATTATTACACATGAGGATAAATTGGTAATATACACTGAAAAGAGAGGGCGGGTGGAGACCTAGCGGGACACCTAACGTGTACAAAGGGAGTCAGCATCTAAGTGCAAATCATGTACAGTGCCTAAGCAATTAGATGCAGCTCCCCGTGTGGACTGATGTCCTCGTCAAACTGATGTTAGTGCCAGCCCACTGTGCTGCTTGAATTTGTCGTCCAAAGTCTGGGAATCATCACCAGCAATCTGCGGTACTGCATGCATCCTCTCAGCTATTGCTACCTGAAATTACATGTTCTGGTTACGATGTGCAAAAGCAGAATGAGAACATCCTACATTCATTATTCTCCGCCTTCATCAAGAGTTCAAGACATCCAATGTAAGAGGAAATTTCCTGAAATGTACCTGATGGGCCAGGACCCCTTTGTGGCTGCTTGTTCCCTGTTGAGAGACCTTCAAGGATCGTAGCTTGACGGTGGAAGACCTGATCGTGTTGATTAAGGGCTGATCTGCATCGCCGTCGCTGTCGTCATCTTCACCGTGACCCTGATGGTCAGATGCACTGATAGACTCCTCGCCACTAGAATTGTGCCCTTCATCTCTAAAAAGTTTCTTCCCATGTACATCCCGAGCACCGCGTAGATCTGGTGCATCTGGCACATCTCTAACCTTTCTTGGACGGCCCCTGTCACGCCTTCACAGGTTTTTCCTCTTCCTCTGGATATGGATGGAGAAAAATCAGAGTATCAGGCACAATATCTAGACAAAAAGACGAGCACAGTCAACAAAGGAAAGTAGTTTAACACACCATGCAAAACCTCATTCTTCGCATGTTTATCACGTAGGTGCTCTACGAATGTAAAAAATGGGCGCCAAGCACCTTGATCTCCAACCATATTGGTATCTTGAGTCCTCTTCTCTACATCTGCCAGACTACAAGAAAAATGATAGGTCAAATTAATAATTAGAAGCAAGCAAAGAACTAAGAAGCATGCAATCCAATAACACATACATATCTGGAATATCTGACGACTGAAGTTTAGAAACAAATGGCAGAAGAGCAGCCTCAAGGAACAACAATTGATTTGGAAGATCGACAAAAGCAAAAGAAACACCATCTTGGATAATCTTCAGGATATCTGACTTGTTTTTTTAATGCGAAAGCGGCCCCAACATAGGACCCTGCAAGGCGACTAGCAAGATCTTGGCATTCTGAATAAGACTTGCCAGTCAGGATTAGGTTTTCTCCGTCATGAACATGGGCCATGTAACGTTCATATGCCTACATGGATGGAAAATATAGAAATATTTACTCATACACAAACTCAAATGCAAATACCGAGATTAACTGGTGCACTTATAGAAGCAATATTCTTAAATTCCAGTCAGGAAATATCTAAAACAATGAACCAAGAGTGAAAACCACATTGACAAAAACAAGCTAAAGGAGGCATAAGTACTCTCACCAGTAAAATAGAATAAGGTGTCAATTTTTAATTCAGATCACTTGTATACTTAAACTAGAGATTCTAGAAAAAATCTTTGGTATAAACTTAGAGTTTAGTTGCAGATATTATGGGGTGATACTTCTTTGCCAGGAAGGACTGGATAGTCATAGGAAATCAGTATAGATATTTCAATGAGATTAGCAGTTGCTGCTCTTCATCTTCAGTTTCACTCGTTTTATAGATAACTGATGTACATCCATGACGATGCATGATCGACTGAGTTCTCCAAAGCAGTTACAGTATTATTTAATATTTCTTTGGGGGATTGGCTAATAACAATAAAATAACAACACTCTGTTTTTAAATATATGATGTTTGGAACAAGCTGATTAGTTCATAACTGCAGGAGAACAAATATCGTTGTTCATACAAAAAAAAAGTTAAAAATAATTAATATCACTCATGCATACTTATCGATATGTATTTTACATGCATAGCTACTAATAATAATCATTATATATTTACCCTTTTCAGCGCCTCAAAAAATAGAGCTCCCATGTCAAAGTTTGTGTTTTTCTTTAGAGAAGTAATTAGATGTTTGATTATCTCTGTTGTACTTGCTCCATGAGATATATAGTGAGAAACAATCTCTGGACCAAGATAATCCTGCAAACAGAAGAGCAATGAAAATTTACTTGACTGGTTAAGGAACAATTAAAAGCAACCAATATTTTGCAAATAATGATTAATTGCCACAACTGTAGTTGGAAGTACAAAGCTTGAGAACTTTATCACAGGATGAAAATGCAGCACAAACCTTTGATACTGTATCAGCGAGCACTAGCTTTGCAGCTGCAATCATGACAGCATCCCTGTTTGTGTCTTCAATATATTCTTCATTTGCATCTTCATCTTCTGTTTCATCTGAGCAACGGATATTTAATCAATTTAAATAATCAGAAGGAAAAGTCCAAATTATCTCCTTAAGTTTGTCATATGTCCAGATTACCCCTAAACTTACATTTGGTTCAATTTACTCCCTCCAACTATTTCGGTTGGTCTAGTTTATCCCTTAACATGGTTTGTTATTTTGTTTTTCCATGTATTAGTTGAGTCTTAATATCAACTTTTGTGATATGATAGAGAACATCATAAGTTATGTTAGAAAAATATATCTTAACTTTTGCCACTATTTTGATAGCTTAGGAAATTTAATAATAAATTAACACTGGAGGTACAATATCGTATAAAACATAATGATAAATAATTCATAGTGCATTTTCTAATACAAAAATACAATGTCCTCTATCATCTCACAAAATTTGAAACTAAAATATAATTTGTACATAGAGAAACAAAAAAGAGGTGTTAGTTGGACCAACTTAAATAGTTGAAGGGAGTAAATTGAACCAAATGTTAGTTTGGGGAGTTATTTGGACATAGGCCAAACTCGGAGGGAGTAATATGGACTTTTTTCCTAATCAAAAACATAATAGACACATACTTAGTAAAACTGCTAAGATCATGCAAACACCCCTATTTTGCAATTCAAGGCAGGAGTGTGTGTCCCAAAGCAAGACCTGATATATTGAGCTGTTGTTCACATAGTTTCCAGAACTTTGAACCATATCTGACTGTGGGAGATAACCCAAACTCTCTAGTCTTGTCGAAGAATATTTTGACTTCTTAAACAAGCACCACATCTCTGCAGTAATGATGCAGACCTAAAAACAAAACAAACTAATAAGTCAATTAGTCCAATCCAATGTAACCATGGAGATACACCACCATGTTCCTGATATTTTTTACGTTCAGAAATCACAAGACTTACTCTGCATGAAAGTACAGTGGTGCTCCTCCCTCTTTCTGATAAGTGGGCAGTACCACTAAATAATAATAGAGTTGATCAAAAAGTGAGCTTTGCTTTGATAAAAGTTCATCAATACATGTTTCAGATGGGTTTTCACCATCAATTGCATGAACGCACCAAGCTACTTGAAGGTGCATATTGAGGAGGAGAAAGCTCTTCACCTAAAATTGATGAAAACATTAGCTCAATGTGCTATCAATTCTGCAGAGATGAGAGCTAATCATCAAAAACAAAGTGTTCACACCTCATTATCCATATCCCTAAGATGAGCAAGGATCTCGCACATATCCTCAAATAAACTATCATTCTTGACAGGTTTTG